TTTTTTTGTATTTTAGGGAAGGATGTTCAAGGTCTCACAGCTAGATCAGACTTGTAGTGGTCCACCTTTTTACAGCCTGTTTAGTGCTTGGATTATAGGCATGCGCCACCATGCCCAGTCTCATTTGTCATCTCAGTGCCCCAGGGACAGGGCCCGCACAGCAGACCTGGGGATCGAACCCCCAGCCTCTGTGCCTGCTTACAGGCAATTTAGTCTGCTGAGCTATTTGGCCTGCCATCTTGAATGTTTCTATTTGCTACTGTTTCCAGTAGTAAAAGCTAGTAGAACATTTGGGTAGACTTCAGAATAAAACTTAGATGATGCACACAGGTGAGGCTCCATACAACTGTGGAGGGATAGTGAAACACAGGGACAGTGACAGGCACTGAGAGACCAGAACACAAGAGGATGGCACCCAGTCCTTGGTCCTGTTGAGATTTGAGAATCACAGGGTCTAGGCAATTTAGTATTTCTAACTTATTCTGCCAGCAAATTTCTGTGTATTAGGGAAGTCTTTATAGCTAATTGGAACTGTGTTCATCAATACAGGTTTTATGGATTAAAACCCAGAAAGATATGAAAGCAGGGTAAGAGTCCACCCAGCTATCCTTCAATGACTCCTCCTGAATTTTCTGTGATAAAGGGCCTTCATCAGATCAGGCAGCAAGCCAAGTCAAATTGTGCTACAGTGTGGTGCTACTTTTCTGAGATCTAGAAAAGGAAAAGGATTTCCTTGAACCACGCATGTTTTTCCTCTCCCTCCCTTTTAAAAACCATGCATAGCAGAACGTCAGATGACCAGAACTGTTTTTATCTCTATGACCCAGAGTGTCCCAAGCATGAGGATTCCAAAGTCTACCCCCCAAAAAAATGTCAGACTAAAAGGAAAAAGAATGGAAGAAGTATGAAGAAACTGCTCGAAAATTATTGTGACTCATCATTCTGTTTTTTACAATAAATAATTTCCTTTTTCTGATGTGCTTTTTCATTTACACTTGATTTTGAAATGCTCCTCACTTAACTCTAGTGTTCACATAAATCAAGAGGAAAAGTCCTGAAGGACTAAAAGGATAAACTTGGAAATCCATGGCTTTGAGAGAAGTTGATGAAATACTTCCATTATTTGAGAGTAACTCACTGTTGGTATTAATGCGTGGGAGTTCATGCATAAGGAGAGGCTCACTCCTGATAGCAGGCAACGGGATGTTCTAGGCAGGAAGAATCTCCGTTCCCATGGGAACAGAAGAATACTTAGAAGGAGAAAATGGAAATATAATTCTCAGTAAGAGGAACACAGGGCAAGAACTTTGTTTTCCATAACTGTTGGGCTTCTGAGGCCAAAGGGCCCAGAGCAGCTCTCTTCTGAACAATTTTCCATATCATCAAAAGAGAAGAAAACCACGGGGTTATGGGGGAGGGCATGCTGTGGCCTTGCCCAGCTGCACCCTCGCATGGTACAGTGGTCGGGGAGGAAGTGTGGTACTCTTAAGTCCACTAGCAAAGAAGATTAAGGAGCTTCTTTCAGAATAACTCTCACAATGTGTCCCTTTAGAATTCAGCAAGTTAGTGAATTCTGTGGCCTGCATGCGGTAGGCTCTGTTGTTCTCCCTTTGTGGTGTGAGGTGCTGCTGGGTGGAGAACCCTGCAGCACAGGAGGATGAGGACAGCAGCTGTACTTAGGGGCACAGGGGGTGGTGACTGTGCCTCCCAAGTTGGAAAAGGATTTCTCATTTATCTTCCTGAGGTGCTTTGTCAAACAGGTGGTGATAGGTAATGAAGAATCTCATGGGCATGGAAGCATTTCACTGGGTTTTAGCTTCTACAACAAAAGCTCCCACACTGGGCTCTCTGCACAACACATACTATCTTCTCCAGGTTCCCATGATTGCAATACCCAGGCTCAAGGTGCTTAGACCTCCTAAGAGACACCCTTCCTTGAGGGGGTCACCTTCCCACTGTGTCCTCATAGGAAAGATAAAGATAAAGTGGTTGCTTGCTCACTTGCTTGGTAGATTCCCATTTAATCTTCCTTCCCCAACAAGCCTTTCCTTCAGGCTTTCTTAAAAGAATCTTGCAGGGTGCTACCCAGCAAAGTAGAAAGTGCTCATCATTGAGATAAGAGCCAGGGAGAGTGTCCTCTCTTGCCTGGCCTGTACATTGTTTATTTCTAAATGACAAGTTTGTTTATAAACAACCCCAAATCTGCCCAACATGCTTGTCAGGAAACAGACTCAAATTGCCCCACTGAGAAGGAAACTTTACTCTGAAAGTGCCTGGGATATTTTCAGTCACTGGAGAGCCCTGTCTCCCTGCTGTCTCCTTCCCCTGCCCCACAGGGTTGTCTCACACCACTGCCCCCACCAGGCCATTTGCATAGAGTCCCCAGGGAGCCCTGCCTTGCAAACCTGAGATAAAAGCTCAGCTCCAGCCCTGTGTGGACTGATCAGGGCCCCTCAGTTCAGCTTCTCAGAATGAGGCTCCCTGCTCAGCTTGTGGGGCTGCTGCTGCTCTGGA